TAATACAGGATACAGTGTTTAAATGTGATATTATCATAATCCTGGATATCTTGAATATTTTCATGGTCTTATGCATATATCTATATATCTCAGTGTAAGATACATTAATACCAGTGTCCAAATGTTATATTTTTAAAAAGTCCTCAATACAGAGTAGTAAGTGATTTATAACAGATTTTTGTTATAATTGTTAATAAATATTATTATATGTATATGTATGAGTATCTATATATATATATATATATATATATATATATATATATATATATATATATAGGACAAACTTTGATCTGAAAACCTGAGAAGTCCAAGCATCAAACCAAAAGGAAGGAGCGTAAGACATGTTTCATTAAGTTAAAGAGTTTTGAAGACGGTAGACTGAAGCACCATGATCAGCTTTGTCAAGCTCTGAAGCAGAGACGCCATCAAAATCCTGCTTTACTCTGTCAGTGTGTCTTTGTTGCCCGCAGCAAGGCCGGGCTAGTATCACACTTAAGAAAGCACAAATGAAATATGTCTTTCTCTTACCTGATTTTCCCCACAATAGCTCCTGCTAGCATGCATAAGTGTAAAACAAAAGGCACAATCCAATGCTGACCCTCATTTATTATTCATGATAAGAGAGTTCACCATATGATAAACATATCGTTTTAAGGTATGCTATATTGATGGGTAAAATTGTTCAATATCAGGTATCAAGTATAAGTAAATATAAAAGGGGACACTGAGGTCAACACCAAGTGGCTATTGTCTCATGACTGAATACAATCTTCTGGCCTAAAGATTACCGTCAAGTATGAGACAGACTGTTGCCACTCAGCGTTGACCTTGGTGTCCAATAACAAAGATTGATTTTTTTACAAAATAAATAAAATAACAAAATTAGTCATAATGGATATTTCTCAAATGTGATGCGTTTCAGACTATTAGTCTTTGCAATTAAAGTGATCGATATCAAGTTAGAGTATTAGTAGCAATAATCTGTCCCTACTCTGAGTTTTGTAGTGATAACACATATCTTACTTGATAGTAAAATTGAATTTATTTACCTAAATAATAATCAAATAAATTTGTTTACTATCAGTCACTTTGATGAGTGCATACTATCACAGCAAAATTGAGAACAGAAATAGATATGATGAACATTTAATTTTATTTTGTTTGTTCTTACATACTCAGTATGATGAACACAGCCACAATGTGCTGATCATGTTTGGAAAATATAAATCATTCCTATAACTCTGGATACATGCATAAAAGAATCTATACATTTAGTTAATAGTAAAAATAAAATCATCCTTGATAATGGCTAAAAGTATAGTCAAAAACAATCAAATTTTTAAAAGTGCTCAGTATTTAGAATACAATAGAGTTAAAGAAAAAATGCAAATATTGAAAGAAAACAGACATTTAAAAATCATATTAACTGTGGATGTGGACCATGAAATTGTGTAGTTAAGGGGAAAAATACATCATTTATTAATTTACTGTAAGTAAATTTTCCAATTTCTTAAAAATTATAAATATATATATATATATATATATATATATATATATATCTACTAAAAATAACATTTAAGTGATATATATATATATATATATATATATATATATATCTACTAAAAATAACATTTAAGTGATATATATATATATATATATATATATATATCTACTAAAAATAACATTTAAGTGATATATATATATATATATATATATATATATATATATATATATATATATATATATATACTAAAAATAACATTTAATGTGATATATATATATATATATATATATATATATATATATATATATATCACTTAAATGTTATTTTTAATGGATACCCATATTTGAGTAGATGCTGTTTTTTATGTATTTCATTTACCAGCCTGAATATTTGAGAAGTCTTATTAAAGAAGGAAGGTGCATAAATATACTGTTTAAAAATAAAAACAGAATGTCTACTCAAATATGGAAATAATGTTTAAGTGACAAAAACCTGTTGGATTAATAAATAAATCCATTACATCTTTATATATATATATATATATATATATATATATATATATATATATATATCAGTCAGTTATGTGCTGTGCATGAAACATGTTTAGGCGATCATGTATCTTTTGATACATGACTGACAAGGCAGATTTATTCCCACAGTAGGTTACCATTTCTTTCTTCGGTAGACCAGTTGCCATCCAAGGCTATAGAACCTGGTCTGCCCCTGCTATTTACCCATGGCTGGGGAAGAAGAGGAGGATTCAGACCTTTCCCAAGGGTATTAGCATGTAAGTGAATGCAATGGATTTGACTGGAATTCGAACTCGGCTCTCCAATTTCTCTATCCAAGCCACTATCCATTACTCCACCATGCCTCCTCTCGTAAGAGGCATTGTGGAGTATGATACATATATATATATATATATATATCTATATATATATATATATATATATATATATATATACACACACATATATAGGGTGGAGCAAAAGTTGTGTGCCATATGGATAATTTAATTAAAGTATTATTCCAATTAAAAAAATTATTTACTAGTTGTTTCATTGTTATGTGCTTTTCAAAATGTCCTCCTTTTTCAAAACACCTTTCAATTCTTTGCCTGCATGATTCCTTAACACATCAGAGTATTTCCTCTGTCATTTTACTGCATTCACATTTAATTCTTTCTTTTAAGTTCCTCAATATTTCTTTGGTGTGTCTGATAGACAACTGATTTCAAATAGCCTCCAACGAAAAAAACATCCAAAGATGTGAAGTTTTTATGTCCTTGGTGGCCACTCAACAGGACTTCTTCAACCTATCCATTAGCCTTGATGGTGCAAGACTTTTGCCTCACCCTGTATATATCTGTGTGTACATTCATGTACAGAAATCAAGATGTAGACAGATGCATTTATAAATGTTCGTCTTGATTAATATGGATCAGTAGATAGATATGAACATCTTCTGATAGATGAATAGATAAATAGGAACAGTCTGAATCTCATGGTTTAAATTTAAAGCATTGGTCAAAATTATTGAATTGTTTCCATGCGGACTATTGACGTCATCCTTCTTTCAGCTGTTGTCCACCATTCTTCATCAGGTGCATGTCAATCCAGGTAACCTTCTGGGACTTTCAAACTGAACCCTTTATTTAATCAATGTAGATAGATTGTTCTTGTTGCACTAATCAGGTCTAGGAATATCTTGCCTAAATCTTATTCAGTTCTTGTTAGGACCATTTACAGTGAATCAAAGCACACAATGCCCAGTCCAGGGATTGAACTCACAATTACTGTGTCACCAGAGATTGAGAAGTCTTGCGAAAGTCTATTGCATGCAAATTATTGCAATCATTAAGAATATGGCAATTCTTATGCTTCTATGCAATTTGTATATTTAGTCAGTATTATAAATGCATGTGCTGACATGCATGTTATTCATCTCAACCTGCAGGGGCAGAGATGAAATAAGTCAGGGTAATATCCTTATTAAAGTGTTCTTCATTTATAGATCATTTCATTTATCTGCAGGTATCCATGTTAGTAATATAATGCCAATGGTATTATTGACCGTTACCTCATAAGGGGATATTCAGCATTCATTGATCAAGCAGCCAGTACTACTTTTGTTGAAATTTGCTAAATCTTTCTCTTAAAACAATTTTTTAGGAAAATACTTTTCTCAGGTTCAGTTGCTATTATCACTCTTTACACTATTGATTGAGTTTTTTTTTTTTTAATTGGTATCATCCCATGCAACAAGCCAACTTTCCTTCCTAACTTTTTATTTGAAGTAATGTGGAATGCAACATTATGGCATTATTTTCTGTTTAAATTACATATGGTAACCCTTTTAGCAGTTGCTGCAAGTCCTCCAGGAATGTGGTTTCTGTTATCTATTGCAGTTCTACTTTACACAGCATTATCACCAAAGTTAAGCAAGGCTGAACCTGGTCAGTACCTAGATGGGTACCCACTTGGGAATGTAAGGTGTTCTAAGCTTGGATAATGGCTCAACCTGGAAAATTGGAAAGTTGAGTTTGGATTCTAGTTGAGTTAGTTACATTAACTTACGTCTAAGCCACAAAGACATAAGGAGTTACTGAGTGTGAAAGAATTAGGAACAGAAACGTTAATAATGAGAGGGAAGAAAAAAGAGTAATCAGGATGTCAGTAAATAGTGATTGACACTGCATTTCAATTTTTGCAGATTAAAGTTGGCAGGAAAGTACCTCTCCCTAAAGAGAGTTCCAGAAGCATGAAGTGCAAGAAACAAACTGTTAGCATAGAACTTTCAGCTAACTCTAACCAGCTCAACTGTAAATTGGTGAGATCTTGATGCTAGTCTAGTAGTACAGCTAAATTAAAAAAAGTCTAGGTACTATTAGAAGAACTCATCTGAAGAATTATCATGAAAGTATTTATAAAAAGGTATAGTGTGGCAACTTTATGGTGGTGAGAAAGTGACCAAAGCCAAGCTGCCAGATCAGGACCAATTGCTGATTACTCTTTGGATTTTATCTAAAGGTAAATAGCAATGGCACTGGACCATATGTGGCAGCAATATTCTAAGCACAGATGAATCATAATCCTATAGATATGTATGATAGATTCTGGAGAGACAAAATGTCTAGCACAACACAATGAACCAATTTTCTTAGCAGTTGCTCTAGCAATGGATTCAATATGGTTTTCTTCTGCATCTTAGCTGAGAATTTTAACCTGAGAAAGTGCAACAAGTCACTTTTCTGGAGGTTAGCATCAGCCATGGTGATGGAAGGCAGAGATGGATCTCTCAGATGATTAATGAAAAGAAGTTTAGTTGTGGAGGTGCTAAAATTAACAAGTCAACTTTCCTTCCTAACTTTTATTTGAAGTAAATTGGAATGCAACATTATGTCATTATTTTCTGTTTAAGTTACACATGATATCCCTTTTAGCTGTTGCTGTAAGTCCTCCAGGAATATGGTTTCTGTTATCTACTTACAGCATTATCGCCATTTCTTATCTGATCACCAAAGTTAAGCAAGGCTGGACCTGGTCAGTACCTAGATGGGTACCCACTTGGGAATGTAAGGTGTTGTAATCTTGGATAATGGCTCAAACTGGAAAATTGCAAAATTGAGTTTAGATTCTAGTTGAGTTTTTTACATTAACTTAAATAACCTTGAGAAAGGTATGAATCTATCTCATCCCCTCCAAGCTATTGGTTAAATAGTAAGACTTGTATTAGAAGATCATTATTGTCTTATAAAAATTTCTATAATCCAAAAAGGTTAATGCACCATAAAAAAAACAAATCAATCAACCAGAAGGACGGTTTTTGGCAAGATCCTTGATCCATGAAGGACATGGCATATAAAAGGAGAAAATTCTGGTGAAGTGATTATCTGCTTGATGTCAAAGATTATATTAATCTGCCAGAAATAAATATAAGTTCTTTATGTTCAGCATATCTGTCTCTACTCGTAGTTACACAGAGGTACTATGCACTCATCAGGAAACAAATTCATACAATTATTATTTAAGTAAATAAATTCAATTTTAATATCAAGCCTCCTGGTGATTTATGGTATCTCTGAAAAACTAAGTAAACAGCAATAAAAGACATCATACATACAATGTCTGATCAGTGAGAAGAAAACTATAATGCATATCAATTCGGCATTTAATCTCCTTCAAAGTAGTCCCTTTCTGAAGCCATAATCTTTATATAGTGCTGTTTCTATTGATGGAAGTGTAGTGCCTTATTATAAACATAGTATCAGCAGTAGCCTTATTATAAACATAGTATCAGCTGTAGCCTTATTATAAACATAGTATCAGCCGTAGCCTTATGATAAACATAGTATCAGCAGTAGCCTTATTATAAACATAATGTCAGCCGTAGCCTTATTATAAACATAGTATCAGCCGTAGCCTTATGATAAACATAGTATCAGCCATAGCCTTATTATAAACATAGTATCAGAGGTAGCCTTATTATACACATAGTATCAGCAGTAGCCTTATTATAAACATAGTATCAGCAGTAGCCTTATTATAAACATAGTATCAGCCATAGCCTTATTATACACATAGTATCAGCTGTAGCCTTATTATAAACATAGTATCAGAGGTAGCCTTATTATAAACATAGTATCAGAGGTAGCCTTATTATAAACATAGTATCAGCAGTAGCTTTTAATAAACATTGTATCAGCAGAAGCCATGAGTGTCTAAAAAAATTTATTTAGATTTTAGTTTACTTTAACTATAAAATCAAACTAAAATCTAAATAAATTTCAATTATTAAAATATAGGTAATGATTGAGAAATGTATGTATATATAATTTATGTATGAAGATGGATGAACATTTGTGTATATTGTTACACGTGTGTCTATGTGTGTATTTGCACATGTAAATAAACGTATGTATATATGGATTTGCATGAATATGTTTGTGAGATACATATAAGAAGAAAACAAAATCTTTAATATTACCCTAAAATATTATTAAATAATGAAACCTAAACCTTAATTAAGTTTACCCATATAATAATAAAGAAAAATTGCATTCATAAATTAGATTAAAAGTAAAACTAATATAGATGTTATTGTTACCGAAATTTTTTTACAATATTATGGAAATACAATTCGTCGGGTAAATAAACTATTATAATTTTAAATATTTCTTTAATATGTTCTCGATAAATGTGCTAATAAAAATAGTAGTTAACTTATATTAAGTCCCTAAACTATTTACTTAAAAAATTAAATGTTTAAATTGATAACATTCATCATTTTTTAGACATCTAAATTTCTATCAAGCATTGAAATCTATCTTTTACATAATTTTGTTAAAACAAAATTACAGCCTCTTTCGATTCACTTCCCTCTCCCACTCTCTCTTTGCCGTAACACTCATTTGGATATATCTGTATTACTGTCGTCTGTCTGCTCTCTCTTTTCCATTTTTCCTTTTCTTTTCTCCCCACTCCCCTCCCATTCCTATATATCATTTCCATTAAGTTAACCATCTAAATAGGTCAAGGTTCGGTCACTCCTCCTACCCCAATATAAAGCATGCTTAAGAAAGATATGAAATTAACCCCTCCCTATAGTCTACCTTGTCTCTTTAACTACAACTCTCACCCCCTGTTAAATTACACTACCCATCAATTTCTAATACCATTTTTCCTTTCATTTCGTTGTTGGAAGTGTTACCTGATGATCCGGAGTCCTTTAAAAAGGATTTTGGTGAAATAAATTATTGTAATGGTACCTTAAAATGGTCTGTTTTTCATTAAATATTAGCTCTGTATTCACATTGAGCTCTCAGGATTTCATCCTACTTGGAATTACCCATTTGGTTTACCAAGTTCTTCGTAACTTAAATATATATATATATATATATATATATAATTATTTTTTTTAAAATATGATACCATCACTATATAAGAGTTCTCATGTTTCAAAAAATAGAAGTTAAAAAACCAGCTCTATTTCATCCTAGAAATAGAGCTGGTTTTTTAGCTTCTATTTTTGAAACATGAGAACTCTTATGTAGCGATGGAATCATATTTTTTAAAAATAATTATAATTTAGACTCTACTTATGTATTGAGCATTGTTTTTTAAATATAAAAACAAAAATACTAAAGACCTTTGGATTATTAATTGTTCTTTTTTCTTTTTTTTTTTTTTCTTTTTATTAATGGTTCTTTTTTCTTTATATATATATATATACGCTACAGTGATATATATATATATATATATATATATATATATATGTATAAAAGCTAAAGTGATATATATATATATATAGGGGTTGGACAAAATAATTGGAACAGTTACAAAATCCACTCCTATATTTCAAAGACCTATTAATTTACTGTCTTTGTCTTTTTTATTTTTAGAATTTAGTAAAATTTAAGCTAAATGCGTGACCTCTCCGAGTTCAAAAAAGAGCAAATTGTTGGAGTTCGCATGGCAGGAGCCTCGATCACTAAGGTTGCTGAACTGTTTGGTTTTTCAAGAGCTACCATATCAAGAACACTGATGCAATTTGAGAAACAGGGCAAGACCTCTAGCAACTGTAGCAATTCGGGACAGACTTACAAACTTACTGACAGGGATTGATGTGCATTGAAACACAATGTGGCAAAAAATCATCGAAAAAATGTGGCCAAAGTGACTGCTGAGTTGAATAACCATCTGAATAGTTCAGTTTCTACTAAAACTGTTCACTGTGAGCTTTATAAGTCTGCATATCATGGAATAGCCGCTGTGAGGAAATCTCTTCTCTCCACTTGCAACATTCAAAAAAGGTTGACGTGGTGCAGAGATCACAATGCCTGGTCTGCAGACCAATGGAAGCAAGTCATATTCTCAAACAAGTTCAGTTTTTCTCTTTTCCCAACTTCAGGGCGAGTTTATGTGTCGAGGCAGCCCACAGAAGCTTACAACCCTGAACTGCCTTCTTCCAACAGTGAAGCATGGAGGTGGATCAGTGATAGTTTGGGTCACCATATCATGGAAATGTCTCAGTTTAATAGTAACCTTGCATGGTAGAATCAACAGCAAAGATTACCTGAACATTTTGGGAGATCATGTTCATCCAATGGCCAAGACTTTATTCCCTGATGGTGACTGCGTCTTCTAAGATGATAATGCTCCAATACATACCGCTCGAATGGTTAAGAATTGGTATGAAGAGCATAAAAGTGGCCTCCCCAATCTCAAGATATCAATATTATTGAACATTTGTGGTGCATTTTGGAGCGACAAGTTAGGAGCCGCTATCCTCCACTGTCGTGTCATAAAGAGCTGGAGAAGGTTTTAATGGAAGAATGACTGAAAATTTCTCTGGATGAAGTCAGGAAGCTGTATTATTCCATTCCTAGACATATTAAAGCTGTCTGTGAGGCTAAAGGAGGACCAACCCCATATTAAATAAATTTTCTTTGAATTTAACAAATGTTCCAATTATTTTGTCCAACCCCTGTATGTATATATAAGCTAGATCGATATATATATATATATATATATATATATATATATAAGCTACAGGGATACTTAGTTTCAAATTTAAATTTTAAAATTGCTGATATCTACTGTATCTAGATGTATAACTTAACCAATTTTATTTTGCTTTCTATCACCTTTGTTTTTATTTTTATTGTTTTTTTGACATCCCACACTGTATCAGAATTGCTTTTATGAGGAATGGGAATATGTCGTACCATCTTTAACAATTTCAATATAAAATTGTAACCAGCATTTCTTGTTATTCTTACCCACCTCTTCATATCTATGAAACTGGCACCATCGATAAAACCATTATTAGTTTGAAGAAATTCCTTCTCAAGATGGAATGCATTACTTAGAAGAATTTTTTTTTTTCCTTTTTATGATTTGTCTGATATAGAGATTTACATATTCCATCTTCTGTTTAATTTTATATAAAGATATATAAATATATTTGTTTCTAAAAAAAACAAAATAGTATCATCTGATTCAAATAGCGCTGTGAATTTTTTTGTGGTTAATAATTACGATACTGAATGTTAGACAATTTACTCATAGATGACAAGGAGACACGTGCTTCTACAGAAGTATATTCATTGTTATAACGGATAAGTGAATTCGACTGCATATATATATATATATATATATATATAAGTGAACATTGAAGTCAACACTTAGAGCTGACAGGCTGTTTCATGCTAGATGCGATCATCAGGCCACAACTGTTATTTTTTTCTCAGCTATTTATATATACATATCAGTGGTGCAGTCTATTTTGGTGGTTATTTTGTCAGAAGTCCTTCATTTGTTTATTTATTTATTTGGGTTAATTTATTTTGCTTGTTTTTAATTATTTTTATTTTTTATTTTTATTTCTTATCTTATATATTTATTTATTTATTTATTTTTATTTTAATCAAAGTAATTAAACAAATTAAAAACTACTCCTGCCAAAATAATAGATTAAACTACAGCAACCAACCCAAAATTTGAATAAATAGCTTTAAATTATCTTCCCAAAACAAAACAAAATCATTAAATAAGCAATATAAACAAATTTTTACGATGTTAATAAACA